AAGCTTGTCACAGACATTACATTAGGACACCAGGGAACTAGCTTAACCTGTTGAAAAAGGGTATGATATGTCTCCTTTAAAGGACACGGTTAATATTTTACCCCCTTCAGTCTGAAGTTTAGCTTCAATCTTTGGAGGTAGTTGAGTTTAGTTGAGTTATTCCCAACTCAAACTGAACCCAGATCTCTGTTGTCCAAACTGGCCCAACCTGCTCGGGAACTCTTGCTGAACTCATCAAATTTGTTATCACTCCTCCAGGTGTGTGGAGTAAGATTTCAGTGTTTTTTTAACCTCACAATGGCGGTCAGATGAGCCCGCCTCGGGCCGGATAACTGTCCGATCCATCTGGTGAACATAGCAAAACTCTTCTATCTAAGACAGTGTTTCCCAACCTTTTTTGAGCCAAGGTACATTTTTTCATTGAAAAAAATCTCGAGGATCACCACCAACCAAAAATGTCAAACAAATCTGTATCCGCCTATAGTAACAGTATAGTTATTCTTATTTTATTCTTATCTTATCTGAAGTGTCTTAAATAGGAATCAAATAAACATAAAAATGTATTTTTATCATATTTTGTATTTCTTCTTTCAAATTGCTTTTAACATGTCCACTTCAATATATAAAATTATATACAAAATCTAGTCATAAGGAATTATTACATGATTACTCCACCAGTCACTAGAACAGCACACACACTCAAATATGGCATATTATTTGCAGATAATTAATTCCTTATCAAAAAATCTTTTTAAACCAATGAGGTGAAATAGGATGATTTTCTACAGCACACCTGACCATCACTAACGGCACACCAGTGGTTGAAAAACACTGATCTAAGCAGTCAGATTTCAAATTGTTTGAGATGCGGTTTTATTTTTCTGTGATGCTCTAATGAAGTCCTAAATTCATTCACTAATCAGAGTTAAAAGTAAAAATGTATTTTCTTAACTCATTGACTGGCAGCCATTTTCAGAACAGAGTCCCGTACTGCCAGTTTTTTTAGTATTTTGACAGATTTTTCCAGAGCCACAGAATAGTTTGTGCTATGACTATGTAAACACCGAACACACCAAAAGAAAGTGTAGACTCTCTTCTTTCATCAGGAAAAAAAATGTGTTTCTACCTTATTCCGTTCTTCCTGGACTTGCGTCTCACCGGCGACATGTTCTCTCATAGAACCGTTCCCTTTTTCTTATTTGCCTCCAGTCTATGCTCATCTCCCATCAAAAGTGGCACTGCCCCCTAGAGGGTCAATTTGTTACTACATACTCTGTCTAGAAGCCCATATTTACGGACAAGCTTTAGCAGACCGTCCCCCAGACACTCTCGCTGAAAAACATAAAAGACCTCTATAGACGTCTTTGGCAGCCAATGAGTTAATAAGGATCGTATTTAGTCACATTCAGTTCGGCTGAAGAATGTAGCACTAAGGGGAAAAATAAATGCTTTCCCCGACTTAGTGGCTGGTCTGTTAGTAAAAGGAGGAAGGGGGGCAGAATGTCAACAACCCTGAGAGCCGAATTACATCTTTTTTCCTGTCCCAGTAACCCTGAGAACCATGAGAACTGTATCTAAAGGCATGCAGAAACGCTCCCCCTGCTCTCCACTGTTCAAACATGGCTAATTCACTTTGGGCCCATTAACAGAGGCCATTACGGGGCCATTTTCCCATGTCACCCGAAGGAATCCCATTAAAGTAATTAATTAGGAACAATTGTCACACTTTATTTCCTACCAAAGGTCTTTATGGGGGCCTTGCGGCACGATAAGTGAGCCTTTAAAGAAACATTTTACAGGTCGTTTGTGTTACCGGAGTGGAAAAGATGCCCTCCCTGCTTTCCTACAGATTAGTTTCAGCCGCTGACGAAAACCCGCTTGATTGGCCATTTAACTCAGTGTAAAGCTGTTTTAGGCGTGGTTTGCTAATGTTTATTATACTCTTTTTTTCCCAGTAAATGTATTATTTGAATATATTGCCATGTTTTACATAGTTTATGCTCAGTGTCTCAAGATGTCTTTAACCCTGTAATGCCAAATGTATCATATCTGATTCATACGGTTTCTGAAATGTTTTGCGTCTGACTCCTTTTGCATAATTTAATGGTAAAAACTTTGCTGAAAATCCTATTGTACACAATCAGATACACCTGATAACAGGGGGCAGAAGACTACAAAAAAATCTTGACTTATCGCATAGTAATAAACTATTAATATCAAAAATGTATTTCAGTCTTTTCTTTATACATATTTTGTTAAAAGACCAAATAAGGAATTCAAACCAAAAAATAAGTAATTTTCTGTTTTGTTTTATTCTTGGATCAGGCTTTAAAGAGTTAACTTGTCAACTCAAGATTTGATTATTTAAAGCCTCAGGAAATGAAGGCTTTGCTTTAATTAACTGACGATACATAAGTAGATGAATGTTTTAAATTAATTAAATGTTAGACAACTTTTGCTACATACTCTTGAACTATCTTTCCATAAAGCGGGTTATTTTTCACATGTCCGTTCTTCATCAGACTCACATCGTTATCTTTCTTTTCAGGATTAAAGGGTTAACTTCTCAACTCAAGATTTGATTATTTAATGCCTCAGGAATTGAAAGCGTTGCTTTAATTATCTGACGATACATCAGTAGAGGAATGTTTTAAATTAATTCAATGTCAGACTTCTTTTGCTACATACTGTTGAAATACAGTGGGGGAAATAAGTATTTGAGCCCTTGCTGATTTTGCAGGTTTGCCCACTTACAAAGAATGCAACGATCTATAACTTTAATCATATGTACATTCTAACAGTGAAAGACAGAATCCCAAAGAAAATTCCAGAAATTCACATCATATGAATTTATAAAAATTGATAACCATCTGATGAGGAAAAATAAGCATTCTTTGTAAGTGGGCAAACCTGCAAAATCAGCAAGGGGTCAAATATTTATTTCCCCCACTGTATCTTTACTATCCATAAAGCGGGGTTATTTTTTTCACATTTCCGTTCTTCATCAGACTCACATCGTTATCTCTCATTTCAGGATTCCGGAAAATCAGTCTGGATGACCTGCGTAAGGCTTACATCGTCAAAGACGTCCAGCAGTACATCCTCCACCGGCTGGACCAGGAGGAGGCCCTGAGGCAGCACCTGACCAAGGAAACGGCCGAGATGCT